GCGGGTGGGGTCAGTGGGCACTGAACCTTTCTCTTTTATTATGGATCCCCCAATTCAAAAAAAAAAAGAAGTAAAAACTCTGCTTATTGGTAGATAACCACGCCTAGAAGACTCTGTACAGCAGTCTCCACCACAAGGTGGACCTGTACCTCGCTTTCTGATCTTGCAGTTCGGTCGACAGCACTCCACCATGGACCATCTGATTCGACTTGAAACGTCGATTTCAAGAAGGCTTATGACACTACGTGGAGGTACGGAATTTTGCAGGACCTCCACTCCTATGGGTTGCATGGCCATTTACCCATATTTATCTGCAATTTTTTACTGAACAGTCGATTCCAAGTCCGTGTGGGTTCAACTCTTTCCCGTTCCTTCCCACAGGAACTTAGAGTCCCTCAGGGCTGTGTCTTGAGTGTCACACTTTTCAGTGTTAAAATTAATGCCATCACTACAAATCTTCCTCCGACTGTTGCAAATGGGCTCTATGTCGATGACTTCCACATCTCGTGCCAGTCGTCGAGCATGAGGTTTATTGCGCGGCAGCTTCAGACTGCCCTCAATCGGTTGTTGACATGGACCACTGCAAATGGTTTTAAATTCTCTTTTTCTAAAACCGTTTGCATGCATTTTTGCCGCCAACGGGGTCTCTACCCCGTCTCGGCGATATAGTTATTCGTTCTTGGGGCTTATCTTTGATCGTAAGCTTTGCTTCATTCCACAAATCAAGCTGCTGAGTGTCAGGTGTGCAAGGGCTCTGAACATCCTCCGTGTCTTCTCTTCCAGCTCTTGGGGAGCGGATCGATGTTCTATGCTCAGGATCTATCGTGCTCTGATTTGATCCAAACTGGACTATGGGTCTTTGGTCTATGGTTCTGCCAGGACCTCGGCCCTGAAGATGCTGGAACCCATTCACCATCTGGGGTTTCGGCTCTGCACCGGTGCTTTTCACACTTCTCCAGTCCAGAGTTTGTACACTGAGTCCCACGAACCTTCTCTTCACCTCCGTCGTTTGCAACTTTCTTTACAATATGCTACTAAGCTTCGATCCTTACCGCGGCATCCCACCCGGGATTGTGTTTTTCTTCCTCGGTGGGCAATGCTCTTTCAGAACAGACTGTCTGCTATTCCTCCATTTGGCCTTCGTATCCGGGCATTTCTGGCTGAATTGGGTCTGGCATTGGATGACATTCCTGTCCCCAATGATCAGCTCATTACCATCCCATCCTGTGACCTTTCCTTGAGTCATCTGGGGAAGGCGGATACTCCCGATTGGAAGTACCGTCTTCTTTTTGCTGAACATCTTTCGAACCATTCCTCTCTTCCTATTTAGACGGATGGTTTGAAATCAGGTGACTATGTAGGTTCTGCCATGGTTTGCTGTGGCTCGCAGGATCCCCTCTACAGTTTCTGTGTTCACTGCCGAGTTATATGCTATTTCTCTTGCCCTGGATCATGTAGAAGCTATGCAGTACAGTAATTGTACTATTTGCACTGATTCTCTACTGGCTCTGGAATCGCTTGACGTTAGTTCTCACCCTGTTCTCGTCGATATTCAACACCGATTGGCCCACTTTTCTCTATCCTCTATTTCCATCCAGTTTTTCTGGATCCCTGGCCACGTCAGTATTCACGGGAACGAGCTCGCTGACACCACAGCTAAGTCCATCTGCTCTGGTGCCATCACGGCCGTGCCTGTCCTATACATGGACTACGGTCCTGTCTTCAAGGCGCGGCTTCATGCCAGTTGGCAGTCGACTTGGAGTGAGCAACGCCATAACAAGCTTTTCCAGATCAAACCTTCTGTTGGTCTTTGGCCGTCTTGCTTCCGTAAGGAT